GGGGGGGGGGGGGGGGGCCCCCCACAGGTTTTAATTGTAATCATAGAGGACAAACAGATTCACACATTTATTCACAAATACGCACCCAGAGAAATACACATACACACACACACACACACACACACATTCTCTCTCTCTCTTTCTCTCTCCTTTCTTTCTTTCTCTCTCTCTCTCTTTTTTTGGTTATTGCTTTTTTTTTTTTTTAAGTTTCTTGCAACGCTCTAGTTCAGAGGGTTTGATGTACCTTTTGAACGGGGGAGCCCATCCCCTGCCTTTTATACGAAAAAATAAACTTTACTATTTAAAAAAAAAAAAGGGAATAAAGTATAAATCCAAGGAATACTCACAGTACAGCTCAACCTTTTTTCATTTCCTTCCTTTCCTTCCTTTTTTTTTCTTGTTTCCTTTTTTCCGTTCCATTCCATTTTTTTCCTTTTTCTTTCCTCTTTTTTCTTTTTCCCTCTTTAGCATTTTAAGAGAAAATACAACCCATATAAAGTACCCCCTTTTGGCTCCTTGAATGAGAGTAGTGAGACATCGAGAGATTCTGTATAAAGGGAATATTGGAGGGTTTGAACAGCATAGTGCATAGGAGCATTAAATAACAACTTAATTTAGTTATAGGTGAAACCTGTTCTGCGATTGGTTGATATATTACTATAGATTACTGCTGGCTTAATTAAATTGTGCTAGCAGTATCCACAATTACAAGTCTATGGTATAAAGCACGGCTTTCTAGATGTTGAGGTTTGAATGTTCTCATGTTTTTCAGCTTCCATGATCATATTTGACCAGACATCTCTTCGCCTCCTGGAACAGCAGGGACGCCATCGCGCCCGGACAGAAGCAGTCATGTGGAACTGGATGCACAGGAACGGTCGTGTGGGAGAGCTGCTGTCTGTTCTGCAGAAACTTCATTTATTGCGGGCGCTCAGCATCTTCGAGTTCTGTAAGTGGTTTTGTTTTGTTTTAAAAGGGGTTATCCCCAGATCAAATCAAATGTACATTTCCTGAATCCGTGGAGATTTAAAAAAGTGTTTTATATTGTTCTCCTAAGCTGAAGACACACACTCACTTTTCAACAGTCCACCTAGAATAAAGAAAATATGTGCAAGTGCCACCTTGCTGCTTGCTGGCCGGCCGAGGTTCCCCTAAACCCATGCCCTATGCTTGTACCAATCTGCTATGTTGAAACAAGATGCAACGTAGTCCCAAGGCTGCAACTGAGCTTTTCCATTATGACTATTAGACAAGAAATTATGCCTGATTTAGCCATATCCCAAAATGTGTGGAATGTACAATGATATCATCTGCAAGGTGAGGCAGATGGCAGGTAACTTTGACTGGAAGTATTGGAAAACTTGCCTCAATCATGGTATCTTGCCTCAATCATGGTATCTTCTCTAGAGTGACAGTCTGTCAGTGCTATTCTCTTCCTGCCTCTCCATTGACTTGGGGGAGAACTTGTGTTTACAAAGTGCTCCTCTGTCAGTAGTGCCAGGGGGGCAATAGAATCATGCCAGCTCTCCATAGGTATGGGCAGCCTTAAGTACATTTTCGTTATTTATTGCTGGTATTTATTAAGCGTCAACAGTTTACGCAGCGATTTACATAGTTGCACATTCTCATCAGTCCCTGCCCTCAAGGAGCTTACAATCTAAGGTCCCTATCTTAGAGGACCAATTTAGACAGGAGCCAATGAACCTACCAGCATGTCTTTGGAGTGTGGGAGGAAACCGAGGTACCTGGAGGAGAACATGCAAACTCCTTACAGATATTGTCCTGACCTGGATTGTAACCGGGGACCCTCAGTGCTGCACCACTACTCCACTGTGCTGGCCATACATAATTTGCTTTTAATTGGTTGTCAGGGCCAAGCTTCCTCCCTTCATAAAAAGGCAAGAAGCTTTGACCCCCTGCTCAGCCCTTAATTTCAGACCGCTAATTAGAGAGGTAGGAGCAAATAAACTCCAATTAGCAACAACAGATGCATGCATACTTGCCCTCCTTACCATCTTGTCTTGATTTGTATTGTGATTATAATGTCTTCCTTATATTGTAAAGCGCTGCGCAAACTGTTGGCGCTCTATAAATCCTGTATGATAATAATAATACAGGAACAAGGGGAAAAATGCTGTGACATGCTCTAGAGTGGGAGAGGGAGGTTTGGGGATTCATTTGGGCTATGCCCATACAAATCTTTTAAAGTTCTCCTTACAAAAGCAAATATAAGCAACTGGTTTTACATTGGAAAACTGAGCTAAGGCGGTGGTAGTGGTTCAAAGAGATAAGGACCTGTGGGCATTGGAAGCACTCATTATTTCTAACAGTGATGTTTTAAAATGTCGTGGGAAAAGAAATTAGACTTTTACTGTATACAGTGGTACCTCGGTTCACGAAACGCCTCTGTTCGTGAACAATTCGGTTCGCGACCAGGAAGTTCGTCAAAATTTTGACTCCGTTCGCGAACTCTGCCTTGGGTGACGAAAACGACCGCGGCCATCTTCCCCGCTCTGACACGTGGTCGTGGCTTCCTGTACTCGAGATTGTGGTCGCAGACAGGGCAGTGGACACTTACTGTGAAGCTTTTCTGTGTGCTTTGTAGCACAGTACTGTACAGTATTACTGTATTAAATCCAGCATTGCTCCCAAGAAAGTGCAGACAAGCATGGTGGGAAAAAGAAAGCGCAGAGCATTAATGAAGGTGACAATGTGCAGAGCGTTATTGAAGGTGACAAGAATGCAGAGCATTAATGAAGGTGACAAGAATGTGCAGAGCGTTAATGAAGGTGACAAGAATGTGCAGAGCGTTAATGAAGGCGACAAGAATGTGCAGAGCGGTATCGAAGGTGACAATGTGCAGAGCGTTATTGAAGGTGACAAGAATGTGCAGAGCAAGAATGGTGGTAAAAAGAAAGTTGTGGTTAAATTTTTTATTTTCTCATATGGTTCATAACAGATTAACCTGATTTACATTGGACCGTATGGGAAAATGTGATTCGGTTCACAACCGATTCGGTTCGTCACCATAATCGTGGAACCAATTAGGTTTGTGAACCGAGGTACCACTGTATGTACTGCATATATCCACTGACTGGGGAAGATCACAGAAGGTCCCATCAGAGGGCAGATCAGTTGAGGACATCACATTTTGCATCCCCTGTTTTTGGTGAGAGATCTTCACAATAGACTCCATCATGGTAGACTACATAAGTGCCAGAACTGAGAATAGTCAGAGTGAAAAGGAGACTTTGTTCATTAGGCGTTTCCTGTATAAAGCTTCTTACTGCTCTCACACCCTTTGCTTGATTTCTCACCCTAATGGTGAGTCAGTAAACATTTGCATCGTAACTTGCTCTGCTGTGATCTTCGCCCAACGCTATAGAACCTCTTCTGCAAAATCCTGTGACTCCTGTACGTGTGCTACTTTTTCTTTTTAGCAAAATGTAGAAATGTCACCAGCACACCAGAATCCCTTTAGGATAGCATAATGTTCATTTATTTGAAGTTCCTAGTCATATAAACAAGCGCTTTCGGGGGCGTGCAGGGTCCCTTCATCAGACTTAGCATTGTCAATGCTAAGCCTGATGAAGGCACCCTGCCTGACTCCGAAAGAGCTTCTTTATATGACCATGAACTTCAAATAAATGAACATTATGCTATCCTAAAGGGATTCTGGTGTGCTGGTGACATTTCTACATTTTCCTGTACATCTGCAACACCAACTCTATTCATTCCATTGAAAGGTCCATAGAGTGCTTGTCCACTGTATGTCTTATGTGCGCAGGCGGTGCACTAGTTGACTGAAGAGACTTTTCTTCTGCAACTTCCTCACTGTACGGTGCTGGTCTGCATAGCAGAGAGCTTACCAGAGCTGGATTACAGGCAAGCATGTGATATTAAAGTCAAAAGGTTTTTGTCATGCGTTTTCATTGGGATACAGCCAAGTAGCCCTCGGAAACGCGCGTTTGTCGTGTTTTTTTTACCGCGAATTGCGGTAAAAACGCGCGTCACGAAACGCAAGACAAACGCGCATATTCGATACGCCTAGGTGTGAACAGAGCCTGACTGTTTGAGGTTGTTTACAGGTGTCTTTTTTTTATACTGATAACAAGTTCAAACAGGTGCCATTGATACAGGTAATGAGTGCAGGACAGAGGAGCCTCTTAAAGAAGAAGGTGCAGGTCTGTGAGAGCCAGAACTCTTGCTTGTTTGTAGGTGACCAAATACTTATTTTCCACCATAATTTGCAAATAAATTTGTTCCAAATCAGCCAATGTGATTTGTCTGGATTTGTTTTCTCATTTTGTCTCTCATAGTTGGTCTACCTATGATGCCAATTACAGGCCTCTCTCATCTTTGTAAGTGGGAGAACTTGCACAATTGGTGGCTGACTAAATACTTTTTTGCCCCACTGTATGTATGTCTAACGCCTCACTTAGGACAAATAAAATATAAAAAAAAGAGGAATAAACGTAAAAAAACCCAGTTTTGATTTGTAGTATTTTTTACAAAACCAGCACAGCTAAAAAAAAAAAAATGCAATAAATACATTCATTGTTTGTCTTTTTATTTTTTATTTTTTTACACTTTTCACTATTTTTTGAAAACTTTTATTTTAATTTATATCAAGCAGTCATTGTGACTTAATCTCACTATTACTGCTTGATACATTAATACATTTATGATTATTATTAGGCTGTTTCAAACTTCAGAACAGCCAATAATAAGTTAGTGACACTGATCCTGCAGCTGTTCAGGATTCAGCTGTCACTAAAGGTTTTCTGATCGTTCCAACAACGATCAGAAAACTGAAACATTCTTCTTTCAGGAATAGATACATTATGTATCCCTGAAAGTGAGAGAAAAAAAAAAAGGCAGTATACGATCGAGAGATATCTCTCGATCTATACAAGCTGTCAGAATGCCGGCTTTTGCCGGCTCTGCTTTTGACTCTGACACCCGATATTAAGGTATCAGGTGTCTGAAAAAGGTTAACCCTTTCATTAATGGATGCCTCTATACTGAGGCATCCATTAATGAATGGTAACCGCTGATTCTCAGCGGTTACCAGCCCTCTAATGCAGCAAATAACTTGTCACGAACGGTGTACGTGACAAGTCATTTGGTCCCTTTGTGGCGGGGTGTACAGTGTACGTCTCCCGTCACGAAGGGGTTAGAGGAGAACTATGAGGTAAGTGTTTGATTTTCACTCATAGTTCGAGCCGACGCGTGACAATGAAACTGTCACATGTTGGCTCAATAGATCTGGAAGTGAGTGAACACATACCGTCGCTCACTCACTTTCTGATCATCTCCCTGCAGAGAGCCGTGACTGTCAGTCATCACTCCCCTCAGGGATCCTCCCCTCTCCGATCCTCCAGGCTGACTGGAGAAACAGACGGGAGGGGGCGGGCACAGCTGGCTCTGCCTCTAGATAGGCAGAGCTCGCTGTCAATCAGCTAGCTGGGTGGATTTCGACAGTATTGTCGGGATCCGTCCCGGCTGCGGCGCTCTCACAGAGCTTTGAGTCTCAGGAGGTGGTTAGTTTTGTCCTCCTGTGACCCTAAAGAGAACTATGGGATAAAAAGGTTACCCCATAGTTCTCTTTTAAGCTGTCTGATATTGTTATACCCATTAAACAAGCACTTGTTGTGTAGGCTTAAGTTGGCCAGACACCAATGGTAACATCCGCTTATTCTGCCTGCCGGAAGCAGTTATTAAATTTGATTAACTCATCCCAGTATGATAGAGTTATGTTAGAAGACAACACGATGTAACCCCATACATGCGGATGCAACCGCTGTATGCAGCCGCACATGATCACACATCCCAGGATTGCCCAAAGTCAGTCCTAAAGGGTAAATTCACTTTCCCAAGTAATTTGGGAAAATGCAATTACCCGCACAAATCTCCCTCCTGATATACTTACCTTTCGGCGAACGGTCC